CACACTTCCCATCCAAGAAAAATTTTGTTGTACATTACGTAACATTCGATTTCCCAAATTGATCGGCGTGAACAAACCATTCCAAAACATTCTTAGTAGAGTTGGATATTCAATCACCTCTCGAGCAGCTAAGAATTTTGATCCCGAAGCTAGACGTGCTATCCTATGTTCTAATTCCACAGGAGCACCAATAATCAGATCAAGATCTGGAAATATTCATTCAGCTGAATCATAACTTGTTGTAAAGGAAGAGAGTTAATCGCATAAATATTTCTGAAGAAAATGATTTCAAAAATTATTTTCTCTATTAATTTATTAATTCAAAAGCAAAAAATCAACAAAAAAATAAGTATACCGTGTGGTTCAACTATTTCTTCCTTGAAAAATTGTGACAATGAACGTTTCGCAGGATCAATCCTCCGCACCAATTGATCAACCAACCAACCAAATGTCATAACGTGATAACCCACTTCTTGTCCTGGTGTCCAGTTTGGCTTTTGATCTTCAAAAATTTTCGACATCCGTCTCCAATCTCTGATATCTGATTCCTCGATCACATTATCCACATAAGCTAGTCCACTCTATAACCATACCTTTTTTTTTCTTAACGGGACTTTTCTAATATTGCCATATTTGAAAAAAGATTTTTTATTGAAAAATTTCGTACCTGATGTGAAAGTAACATTTCAATAGTAATGTTTTCCTTATCATTTTGTCCAAATTCAGGCCAATATTTCGTAACCAAATCTTTGTAGGCAACCAGGCCACGGTCAACTAACATCGAGAAACATATCGCACATATACTCTGAATTCTAATGTTTTTTCTTAATTATTTCAATAAGTGATATTATATAAATGATACTGTCGCGATTAGAAATGTCCTCAAAAGTTTAAACTTCTAAACATCAAGCTTCCAGTAATTTTTCCTAAAATATTTCCTTAATATTAATATAGTTTAATATAACCTTAGTGCAACTGAACAAAAGTGTCATTGTGTCATTCTTCCACTTTCGATGTGATGTTGAATCTGCATATCCACCCCACAGGTCAATCACTTTTTCGCCTTTGAAATATACCGCAAATGCTGCACCCTCACTTTCCCATCGCTGTGTAAAATTATTGCTAAAACATAATTTTGACCTTTTTCACAATGAGCTTCTACTTTTTTAGGGACCAGAAACAACAGATGTGTCGTTATCATTTTATTCAAGTTAAATCTTAAAATGCATGATAGTTTCTCAATCTTTCTCAAGACGTTTCATTTTTAAAATATTTATACATGAAATTCTGCAATTTGTAAATAAAAATAATTATTGTCATAAGCACTGGTGCTAAATAAAATTTTAAATAATTATTTGAAGTTACAATAGTCAGTTTTATTGTTGAATGCTTGAAGCATTATAATTTCGCGAAATTTTTTAGGTAATAAAACTATTGTAAATAATTTGATATAGATTGCTGTGTGAATTTTGATTACATGTAATAAAACTCCTTATTGATTCCGTCAAATCAATCATTTTCAAATGATATTATTTTAACTAAATTCCAAAATTCAATATAAATTCCTTTTAAAATATATTTTTGGTTCATGCAAAAGAATTTTTAGAAAAAAAGAACATTTTTTTAGATAATTAAAGAGAATTAAAAAAGAATTCAACCAAGCTTTAATGGAAATTATTAAATCGAATAAATAACTCACTGGAAAACTTGTTTAACTCTATCGAATCGTGAATTGCAATCGCCGTCCACAATAATTGGAAGTCGAGGCATTAAGGGTTCTCTCAATTTTGAACACGTTCAATGAATTGAATTTTAATTATTTTAATAGTGCAAACTGATGATGATTTCTCACTTGATCGTATATTCCTGAAATTGTTTTTTTTTTATTAAATTGTTTTTCTGCAATACTAAATTCATCATTTCTCAATGTTGCGCAATTGTCTATCACAATGAATTTCTCATTCGGTAAAAGTTTAAAGATGAAAATGAATTTAGTTAGGCCTACAAAAAATGTTTGGACATTACTGTTTTAAATTACTATTTCAAAGCTAAGAAAAGATTTTTTCCCTTTGTACTTTCACATATTTTTTTGACATTTTTCCATCACAAGTATAAACGGACATTTTTCATTTGAATTTCATCAAATTTATTGTACTGATGACTCATGCAGCAAACAACGGAACACAATTTGTTTCGCTCTTTTTCTCTAATACATTCTTGGCTTAATAAATCTTTGAAACGAATCTCACTCATCAAATAAGCCGAAATTTTGCACGACGATGACTAATTGAGTGTTCTTGAAAAAAATTGTATGTCATTTCCAGCGGTATCTATTCCGATTGTTATTGTAGAAAATACACTTAGCTTTTTCTTCACTTCAGTATGCATCAACAGTTAACATTGCATTTTCTTAGCTGTGGAATGCATTTGTAAAAAGGAAGGAGGAAATTGGCAAATCAATGATATGATCGAGAAATATTGAAAACTAATATGAATGAATGAATCGTTAAATTTTACATCAAAAATTTTCAACGAATTTATTATTTCCATTGAAAATGATTATAAAAGAGAAAAAATCATGGAATTTTTATATATAAAGCCTCAAATGGGAAAATGACATAATTCTTTTACGAAATATTATTAATTGGAATGGATTTGTAGTTCGAATTTGTTGTTATGAGAATTGATGATATGCAAGTTGAAAGAGATAAATTACATGGACATAATTTAAAACGGCGGTAAAATAAATGAAAGATATCAAATTCAATCTGAATTATTTTCTGAAAAATAAGCAGTAAGTGGTAGAAGTGGTAGCAAACACGACTAACATGCAATTTTTGTAGAGTCAGTCCTTTATTGCAGCATTATTTATGACACATGAATGAATAATAAGGGGTGAAAGTTCACCCATGATAAATGCTAACTAATTTTCGAGCGAGAATATAAAAAGAATAAGAAGTGATAGAAATATGCAATTATAAAATAATACGGGGGGGAAAGAACAGTTGTTATGAGATCGGCTAATAATGCCGACGACGGCAATTGGAAAGCGGTAACAATTGTATCCGTCTGTGCGTGTATATGTGTGTATATGTGTGTATGTGTGTGTATGTATGTCTGTATGTGTATTTCTGTATATATCTGAAGTACTGTCGATTATAAAAGCGATCAGTGTATTTGTATTTATTATTTATCGATATTTTACTTCTGTTAAAAATATAACGAAAATTGAGATAATTCTTTCAGTGATAAAATTACAGTAAGCCGTGGAATATTTTGACCATTGCCTATGATCAATATCTGATACTGTTGACAGTTAGGGTATAAATAGAGTAAGGGTAATTAGCAATATTACCTGGACTGAGTAATGAAATTTAAGCGACACATAGACTGGGACTTAGACAAATAAGCAGAAATGCCTTTGAAGTGAGTAATGGATGGAATGAGTTGAAAAGAAGCCTACTCCTAACAGAAGGAATCGATTCATGAGGAGGCCAGAAATATTTGAGCACAAGTTAGATGATTGTATTTCTCTCTATCCTACCTCATTTCATCATTATTCATTCCATAGATCAGTCTACTCTATTTTACTCTGCTGTTGTTTAGTCTCATCATTAATTAACTTTTCATCATTAATTAATTATCCACATGGATCTTCAATCATCATTTGTTATAAAGTTGACAGAAAAAGTTTTCATATATTTTATTATTTTATTTTAATCACTTATTCCCTGCTACAAATGAACCTTAATGAGTGATGTTTACATCACACACCTGTGATGTAAATGGAACGTCGATTCTTTCGATGCAAGTAGGTGTGGGTGGAGGTGTAACTTCTCCCCAATCAATAAATGACCTCAGTATTTGATTGCTAGCAATGATAAATTGCACACAGTATTGCAATCAAACATTCACTTTGCACTCAAAATAGTTTTTAGTCCCCATTTGCACTTAAAGTGCAACCTTCTATGGAATTTTCATCCCGCTCTCTCCACTTCCCGGACATATCCTCCAAAAAAAAATTCAGGATGACGAGCTATCGAATGGTCATTTTTCGCTTCATCCTTTATTCTTCATTCCCATAAATGAGACTCGAATCACTCAAAAATTTTTACATCACAGTTTTCGTTCATTTCAATTTCAATTCCAATTTAGTCTTCGGAATTTAATTTTACAATAAATGGCAAAAAATTTTTTCCTGCAGACAAGTCAATATTGAACTTTGTAAATAAAGAATGCAATGTGTACAATATATTTGATAAGCACTAAGTGAATAATCCTTGTGAGGATGGACGGTCACAGGATAAAATGAATTATCGAGGCGCATTCTGGCTATACTCTCAACTGAATTAGGCTTTCAGTAGTAGAGTTAATTATCCTTTGGCATATATATTTTGGCCTGTTGTGTTTTATGTGGAATGAAATGAGAAAGGTGAAAACAATGAAAAATTCATGATATATTATTGGATGACTTTGAGTTTAGTGATTTATTATCGGAGAAAATTAATATAATCTCTTTTGCTGAAAAAATTTATGAGAGTGACTTGTCTCATTTTACATTCCTTCGCTCCAATGCAAACATTAAGAGCACGGTTTTTAAATTATTTATGTAATCAACTAATGATGGAAGAATTTCAATCAACTTTAATTTGCTCTTTGGTTACTTGTCTGCAAGCAAATCAATGTTCAAATATTACCTGTTTGTTAGTGCTGCAATATATATGCATTTTATGCAGAGTTCAGACTTCGAGTAATTTAAGTTTCTAATTCAATTCCTCATCTGAATATTATCAAATTACTGCTTATTTTACAATATATGGAACTTCGATCGTTGCTATCTGCGTCTTGTGAAAAACAATATTTTGTAAACTGAAATTTCATTATGAAAAGCTTTGAATGTCATTGTAAGTTCAATTTATTGCTAATAATGATTGAATGATGTCAGAGGTGTGGCATTTCAATTATGAAACAGAAAATTATGGCCTCTCTTTGAATGTTGCAGAAGATATTTCTCCTAGTATATGTTTATTCTATTCCAAACATTATCATTTTGCTCATTGATAACATTCGTTCACCGGAATTGTCCTCAGTGGAAGAATGAAATATAAAATATATTGAAGGAATGGAAATGTATGGAACAAAAGATATATGCATTCCAAATGAACTAAGATTAAATGTGATGTTGTTGAACGTCACTCAAATGAATAGAGATTACACCTAACGAAGGCTGTATGGATGGAAATGAAAGTTACGTAAAAGTAGCAATCGAATCACCCAATATCTTTCTACTCTTTCATACGTGATACACGTCATGTTGACATGTATTACCAAGCTTGAAACGTACAACATTCAGTGATGTGTTGCAGTACAATAATGTGGCATGCAATTTTGCACTTAGCGTGCTGCACAAAAATTGCTTCCCACCACATGCGTAAAGAGAGTGATATCCAGAGAGATAAGCAGAAACAGCGGTAACATGATGTGGTTCAATTAAATGATAAACTCCAAAATATTTTCCCATACTTTTTCCCATTCACAGGAGATGATAGACCAAAGAACATAGACCAAAGAATAGTATGCGTGGCAAAACTGTTTTGTTTAGTTGTGACACATCGCAACTGTTAACTTGCGTGTCCTGATAGCAAAGGATGGAGGGAACCTATCGAAATGTTTTACGATAAGTTCTGCGTTGTTGTTTATTCTTTGTTGGTCGCATTGCTTTTATACACCATGCGGTAGGAGTGTTGTTTTCGTATATATAAATACTCAACACAATGACATGAATTGCTGTATTTTGAAGTGGATAATAGTTTCAGAGCAAAGTTAAAAAATGTCCAATTTGAGTAATTCTGAAGGATAATCGATAGGCAGTATATATTATTTAATTATTGGATAAGAACTTATTTCAGAATGAATTATATCGTTTAACTGTGCATTCCTTGACGAACACATCAAGATAGTCATGTCAACCAGCAGTGGTCCAAGATGTAAGTTTATGGAAATTTGTTGTATTCGAACTAGAATAAATGTGGCAAATTTATGAAATCCTTAACCATTACTTGGTTCCTTTGAAAACGAGAAGAGTTTCTTTTAGGGGTACAAAAAAAAAGTATCAATTAATACACTGAGACATATTAGAGTCTTTTTATTTATTGCTTTACTTTAGCAACATTTGATTGTTGGACTATTTTAATAATAAAGTTTGTTTTCAATTCCAGATGGACGTGCACGTGGGCGAGCAGTTCCTCGGAAGAACCGGTCAGAAACATTGTCTGTTGGAGGAGGTCGGTCACTGATCGTTTGAAATTTCATTTCGATGTAAAATAGTAATATGTGGCTAGTAATATGAATAAATGGATTATTAAAGAAAAATACACTGACTCGTAATATTTTGGTAAATTCATAATTCGATTTCATTTCTAACAGATATGGCTTCGATTGCGAGCAGTTTTTTGAGCGTGGATGTTTCATCGCAAAAATCAGTAGGAGCCAGAATTGTTAGTATTTATCCTTCATTTCCGAAAGGAGTCGTTGCTCATGGTTATTTTTTCGTTTCAGTTTTACATCTAATTTTTTTCAGAACACTCTACCAATAATATCGTGCTTGTTGCAAAGATCCGATTACGGGAAAGCTGGTGTATTAATCCCATTGGTTGCAAACTATTACGAAATCAAAATCAGTCCTGGAATTTATGTCCATCGGTACGAAGTGATTATTAAAGATCCCATGAAAGATCAACCACTTGACAGGTTTTTATCATATGATCTTTCAACAAATTGATCTCAAGTTAAAAAATGAGAATAAATATAAAGTTTTCTACTGTTTTAAAGTCTTATCATTTTAATAGTTTGCTTAGTTTTATGAAAGCAAAAATATTACAGGGACATCTGTCGTTCGCAATTTTGGGAAGCAGTAGATAAAGATCTGAACATATTTGGCAAGCTTGAAAATTTGATCTACAACGATGTAAACTGTTTGTGGGTGAAAGAAAAATTAAATTTACCCAATGGTATTGAACGAAAAGAAATCGTAAAGACAACATCGCGTGGTGATGTGAGTCTAATTTAGTAGGATTTTGAACAAAAATCATTTTGGAACTTTTCTGAAGATTTGTTTATGCATGTTTTCAATTTTCAGTTAAATGAACTATAACTGACTGAGATAATTTAGATTTTGTTTCTTATTTGTCATTGTCAAATTACTTCTCATATTATGCAGCTCTTATTAATTTTATGATGCAGTGAAATTTCTCAATAGATATATTGCATTGAAATTAGCAACTCTGTTTGTCACTTCTTCAATTTCCATGTGTCTTTTTTTCCGTGCATATTTTTGGTGATCATGCAAATATTTTTTTACCATTTTTCACATCGATATTTTCATCATTTTTTTTAGAAACGAGTTGCTTACATCATGGAACTGAAATATTTAAGCAGTTTTTCCGTCAGTTTAGCAATGGAATTTGATGATTCAAACAGTGCTACTGTTCAGTTTTTGAACGCACTTTTAACACAGAGCATCCGTTGTCCGTTGAGGTAACCATTTCTTTGAGCAGAGAGAAAAAGAAGTAAAGAAATGATAACAGGATTGAATTCTGTTGTTATTGCAGCAATGCAGAAATATTTCATGTATTTTGTGATCTTTGAATTAAAGGAAAAAATATTGATGATTTCGAATAATAGTATGGCTTGATAATTCTCATCATATTGCTTTTATGAATATTTACCATATTAGTTTGTTTATAATACAAAAAGCAATTTATACTGAATTGCGTACTTGCTCAATTGCAAGCTTTCTGACTTTGAGATTGAATACAAGAAGCATAATTCCTTTTCTTTGATATTATGTCGTCTCAAATATTTTGCTTGGCTTAGATTTTGTTTTCAAAATTTGTAACAGTTTTCAAAAATTTCACTGTTTTCTTAAATACAAAATCTAGTTTCAGATCCATTTCGAATCAGTATTATCCATTTGGTAATTCTGTTTACGTTATACCTAATCAGAATCGTAGATGGGTTGTTCCCGTAGGAGGTGGAATTGAAGGATGGACTGGATTGCACGGTGCAGTGAAAATTGATTCAACTGAACATGCACTGTTTAATGCAGACGGTAAGTTTGTAAAGGAGTGCGAAGCTATTAAAACTAACAAAAATATATAAAAAATTGGTGATGTTCAGAAACGTTTCTAGTCTGCCATATACACTATTGTATTGACTATTATGGATATAAACTTTTCAGTTTCTAGCTGTGCATTTTTTAAAATACGAATCACCTTAATCGACTTTTTCCTGGAAGTCCTAAACGAATTTCGAGGTCGACGACCGAGTGAATACACTGTAAATGAATTACGTCAAGCGAATAGAATTGCGATGAATGATTCACAACGGAAATCTTTAAAAAAAGCGTTGACAGGTATGTTTGTGTGGAAAGTAAGAGTAATTTTTTTCATATATATGTGTAAAGAGTAATTTTTCATAGACAGTAATTTTCAGTAATTTTTCGTATTTCATATCACTAAATTAAGGCATTTAGACATAGAATTTCTGTTGGATATTTTTCTGTAGGTGCTAACAAATGAATAATGGTTGAACTAAGTATAAGGAAGGTAGTCTTTATAAAACCGCATAATGATGTTTATTACAGAAGATTCATTTCACTACAAAAACTTAAATTTATGAATAATTTTATATTTATGAGTAATTTTATACCGTCACGTAACTTTTGTGACATTATGACCGAATCGCTTTTTACGCCAGTCTTCTCGTAACAATGATATTTTTTAAAAGTTAGTAATAATTAATTTTTTTGGAATATATATCCTTTTCCTTTGTAAATCCGAAAGATTTTCATAATATTTTAAGGTGTTTATTTACGACTAACTTATGTTCCGGGAGGAAGTAGGTTAAAGGATTACAAATTTGTTGATGTTGGCCAACCTGCAAACGTCACTAGGTAATATTTGTTGCTTTATTTTATTTATCAAGGTAATGATAATCCTGGTTTTTGTCCAGGATACTTCACACTTATTTATTTATCTTTTTTACAGTGAGTTGTTATAATGAAGATTTTTTCGCTTAATATTTAGATTGGATTTTAGTGCATTTCAGATTTCTACATAAAAATCTCAATGATCCTAATGATAAAGGAAGCGAAGTGACGGTTGAAGAATATTTTGCCCAGTACAAGGGTATTTTTACTAATATATGAAATTCTTGTAAATTTTATTCTAATTAATTTTCAACTGGAATGGCAAATTACTTTCTCAGTTTTTGTATCACTAAGCCTTTTTTGCTGAATTTGCATCTCTTGAAAATCTTTAGTTGTTGATCACAGAAAGTGGCAAACTGATGAGACTCGTCTAGATAAATGAGTCTGAGAGTAAATTGTGAATATATCTTTTTTTATTGGTTTCTCAAACTTTAACAGGAGCAGTAAATAATTGTCTAAACTTTTCAGAAATTAGACTGAATTTTCCACATTTACCGGTAATTCAAATTGGCCCTTGCCAAAAAAAAATTTTTGTGCCAATGGAGCTTTTGATTATTGCTGATAGACCACAAAAAGTGAAGAGAGAATTGACTGAATTTCAGAAAGTGAAACTTATTCGGGTAAATGGATTTAGTAATAGATTGTTGAATATAGTTGTTGAGTTAACTTGGGGCTTAAAAAATGATTCTCTTTCTTTTGTTGCTCAAGAAAATTTTATAAATATCAGTCAGGGCAAATACTGTTAACGAGAATTTTACCCATTTAGGACGTGAACTGTTACGTATTCTGTAGAAGTATTATTATTATTATTATTACTGATATTCACATTACTAATTACATTAGTAAATATTTTAGCTCTTTTAAGACTAATAAATTCATACTTCAAATTCATAAGATTTTTTTAAAAACAAGGCATAGATTATCAGAGATCAGCTGAACGAATTATTTTAAATTATGACGTATGATTTGATAAAATGAAAACGAATTAGAAGAAGTTCTTTTAAAGAGACTGGTGCAGATTTTGATATTTTTAGGGTGCGGCTATGGAACCAAAAATTCGAAAAGAGCGAATTAGTTCTATAGTTGCAGATCAGAAGTTTTATGACGATATATTTTTACAAAATTTCGGTGTTTGGGTCTCTCCTGATATGATTCATTTGAACGGTAGAATGTTGAATCCACCGAAGCTGGAATTTAATGTAAATTTTTTTTGGTTTTGGTACCTACAAGTAATCTGTCGGCTTCAGATTTCTCAGTTTGGGAACAATTCTGAATTGGAACTTGTTGTAAACTCTTATTCTCTATTTATAGAAGCTACAGGGAATAACGGTCTGTTTTTTTCGTGCAAAATCGGGTCTTTCTTACTTTGCATAATATCAAAATGCAAGGATCAAAGTTTATTGATTGAAAAAGATTTTTAATAAATTAAAATAAAATCGAAATATTAACATATATAAAAAGTCCTTTTGCTGAATACTCCCATACTTAACCTGTTCTTGATAATTTTTTAATATTTTCCATCCATAATTGTTGTTAATAACGAACTTGAATAATTTTTAATTTCTTCGGTTTGTAGCAGTCTTGCTGTGTATTTTTGTCAGTTGTCTTGATAAGTCAGTGTAATGGTCAATTTAAAATGCGCTTGTGCATAGGTATATTTTCACTGCAGACTAGTAACGACGGACAAGCTTTCTGTGCAGAAGTTGATGAGGGTAAATGGCCTCTTCGAAATATGTTTACAGTATCCCCAAGAAATATTTTATTTGGTGTAATTTGTGTGGACGAAGCTATTAATATCGACAATTTCTGGTGAGATTTGAGCTTTAAAACATATTTTTATCAACATTTATAAAACCAGCCCTCACTGTAGTTGAGGGCTGGTTTTGTAAATCCTGATACATCTTATAAGTCTTTGAGGATAAGAATTATTGCTTGATTTACCATCTTTTTGCCATTCTATACATAGATGATGTTATTCTCACTTAAATTTCTAGGGATCCATATCATAATTTGATAAAGACATGCAACTTATTTGGTATGAAGTTTCTGATGACTGATCCACTTCTGGCGACATGGAAAGGAGAAGATCGAGAGAAGCTGCGGTCTGTTGTTCGTAGGATGACCAGTGAATGTAATATCAGATATAATGGAAATGCGAATCTACATGTTTTGTTCATTATGGCTAATAAAAATTCTCGTATATATGGTTAGCAATTTTTTTTCATGTTTCGGCCTTCATTTTGAACACGTAATTATGTTATTTCAATCCGTGTATCTGAAGCTTTCGAATCACAACTATCTCTTTTCTGAAATCCAAGTGAATTTTTGATATTTAGAATTTCTAATAATTGGATCTATTTTCCATTTTTTTTCTTGATAGAATTGCAATACATTATCTCTTTGTTACAATAAAGAATTTTGCTGTTCAGGAATAATTAAGACAGTTTGTGATTTGGAAGAAGGGATTGCATGTCAAGTGATTTTGGCGAAGACATTTCATAATATGTCTTCGCGTCCAGAAACTTGTGCAGTCATACATAACATTATCCTAAAAATGAATACTAAACTAGGTGGTGTAAACAACAAAGTGCATCAGGATTATGACATGTTAGCTTCTCTTAATCTTAATCAAATATTGTTATTTAAATATATGTTAAATTAAAGCCCTAGGGATAAACCAAATTTTTTGTTTCTAGTTTTTCACTTTGCCTGATGCATTACTATGCTAAATTTAAATTCGGATTTCTACAAAACTGTTTGTTATATTTGTTATATTATAGAATTAATTCAAACAGTTACTCCGAGAAATCGAAAGATTTAAATTCATTAATGGTAGTGAATTTTTGTTACTAAAAGTCGACCAACTAAAGGCAGCATTCTTAAACCAGAAGGTCAAGATTATGATGAAATTCAGATAAAATAAAATAAATAAGCAAATATTTAATAAAAAAGTTTCATAAACCTTGAAAGTGAATTCTTATTTCTTGAAGTTGGCCAAAATTTTCTGACAGAAATGATCCTACAATTTTCATCGGTATTGACGTAATTCATCCACAACCAGGCAAATTGGGCAGTTCAATTGCATCTGTTGTTGGATCGACAAATTTGGATGCGACACGGTCCGTTTTAAATTTGTAGTAGTTTTGATTCGATGAGCAAAGTTTCTTTTAACTGAATTTAAATCTTCCATGCTGGTTTTGGAAGTTCATTTTATTCATATTAATCAACTTGACAGTAAGTTCAATGGCATTTCATAATTGTATTTTATTTTATTTTGAAATATGCGTGGAGCGTTTGTGAACAATTGGATACTTAAAACACATGAAATGAGACGAAGCTATATATTGAAAAATATTTATGGCGAAGCTATGTAACTATTTCATATATTCTAATAGTTGCTTTGCTAGTAGATGCTTTGCTAGTATAATTAATTTTTAACATTTTTCGCATTCATTTTTAATTAGTTTTCCGTTTTTCTTTGTAATCGTATTATGTTATGGTTTTAGTTACGAAGCATCAATAAAAATTCAACAACCAGGAATGGAGCGTATTGTTTATTTGGTAGATGCTTTAAGAGAACGTCTTTTAACGTTTTATAAGTCAGTTGGAATGGCACCAAAACATATCATTATTTATCGGTATCATTTTGAACCAAAATTTTTAAATTTTTCTGTGATTATTAAAATTATAATTTTATTTGTGAGCAATTTCCTTGATTTTTTTATTCCAGTTATGTTGGATGGGTTTTTCCGATCTCAAAACTTACCTCTAGTTGGTCAACTATTCTGTATGTACTAAGGATTTATTAGCTTCAGTATCTACAAAATGATTGTATTGCTTAAAACCTGTGGAATTTTAATTTATTTCAATTAGATATTCCGGTTGTTTTTAGTGATGGCATATCGGAAAGTGAATTTCTGAATACGTTGAGGGAAGAGATGGCATCGGTAAAGACAGCATGTAAAAAGCTTGATCCCGAATATGCTCCAACTTTGGCATATGTAGTGGTTCAAAAACGACATCATACACGCTTTTTTGTTGAACCTGCGGTGGCTGCGGAATTTCAAACTATTAGAAAGTATTTTTAAAAGGCTTTGGGCTCTGCAGAGTTTCTTTTTTTATTTCTGCTGCTGAATTCCCAATCGTAAATGCTGCACTATTTCGGTTTTCTTTTATTTGCATGCCTTATTATTTGTTTTTATTTTTATTGATGTTGCACTTGAACTTTAGGAGCAAAGGTAATATTCCACCAGGAACAGTTGTTGATACGCGTGTAACCAGTTCACGGCTTTTCGATTTCTTCCTTTGTTCTCATTTTGGCGCAGTCGTAAGTGAATTTTCCAGTTCAAATGTTTTTAAAGAAAATTATTACGAAATTCCACTACCAATGTTTTTTTTTGTTATTTTTTTTGGGAAATGTGTTTTGCTGCTCATGATAGGCATATGTCAGGGAACATCAAGGCCAAGTCATTATTATGTATTGTATGATTCATGGAATTTAACATCGGACGAGTGGCAGGTGATTTTTTTCTTAGTTCAAATATATTTTGAACGTACAATAGCAATTTGCTAATTTTCTTCCTATCTTGATGGAAGGTATTTTCCAACTGTGCTTTACTTAACACTTATCTCGAGAGGTGAGATCCTAATTTTTTAGAATTTTTTTAAAATTAGCTAAACAAAATGCACTTTACAGCAGCTAACTTTTGCTCTTTGCCATCTCTATGCTCGTTGCAATCGATCAGTTTCCATACCCGCTCCAGTATATTATGCACATCTTGCATGTTCCCGTGCTGGTGTACACAATGATACTTTGTTAGTTTTTACATTTCTCTTCTTCATCTAACTTTTAAATATGAAACACCTGTTGGTTTTGTGGGTTTTTTCGAGTGAAAATACATAATAGACGTAATTCACAAAAGAGGTAGCTTTCTTAATTCACAGAATTAAGAAAGCTATCTCTTATCTGTGTATCTTTAGAGGAAGAAAACAATCCCGAGTATTAGTTGCTTCCGAATTATTGCTTACCTAGGCAAAAATAGGTTAATCTCACTTTATCACTTCATGAGGCCGGATATTTCCAAAATTTTTCGGCTGGCTTCAAAAAGTACTGCCTCCGATTCATAATGTACTCTTTCCCTTATACCGTAATTTGAACCAAATCGTTTAAGGAGATGCCTTATTCGATTTTCCGAGTAAAAAACTTTGAGTTTGGAAATTTTAATTTGATTCATCTCAAAGTTCAGGTATAATCAACAGTATTCATCAAAACTGCTCGATTCTGCGTGTTCCCAACAGGAAACAGTTCGTATCCATCAGACAACACTAGCTGTAAATTCGGCAACACCAAAAATGTATTTTGTTTAAGTACTTTGCACCACTTCTCCAATCTTCTCTCACTTCATTTTCCAGCTTCTGTTATTGTCATTAGAAATTTCCAATTATTCCAGTTGAGTTGGAGAAATCTATTCTTGTTCAGCGACTCATCGATGTTCCGTTTTTGCATGACCTCATAACTCAAAGTTTCTGCTCGGATAATTTTCACCCTGCAAATCTCTGAGTGCTGTTACGTTAAAAAATTCGCTAGGTACTTTTATGTAGCATTTCTCCTCATTGTTTTCTTTTACTTTTTGTATTCAGTCTTCATCTTCCCAGCAGCAACAGAAGTTTGTGTTATCCACAATTAAAATCGATATTCTCGGTGTCAGTAGCTTAATAGTGCATGTCGAATGTACTCCCTACAGTGCTGAGAAATATTCACATTTGAAAACGATAATCAAAATCTAAGACGACTTAAAAATAATTAAACCTAGCTGCAGCATTTTGAAAATCTGTACCATCTATAGCATGAATCTTACCGCAATTTTAAAGTTCGAGGAACTATAAAGCCAGATTTAAACGAGACCGTAATATTATATTGACATTATTTCATATTGTATTTGAATTTTAGTGATTAAAAGTCTAAATTTCTACTCGCGGAGTTTGAACTGGTAAATTTAGATTTCTGGAATTTAAAGGATGGATTGATGTTTTTTTACTTGGACGTAAAATCTATAACAAATTCACAACAGCTAGATAGCAAATACGAAACGATGAGACAATATCAACGAAATAATAGTAATTTAAGTAAAGCAAGTAGAAGCTATGAAGTATGGAATAACAGCAATAATTGCTTTTCCGAATTCCGAGAAGTATTTCAATGTCAGCCCATTTTCAGCAGGTTTAAAAGAATTCACATGCGTGTTCGTGCTGCTGCCAACTTCATGCCATTTAGAAGCTTATGGAGAAAGTTAGTGAAGCATAAATCAAACATTCAAATTACAAGATTTAGATAACAGCAGGTAGAATTTACAATAAGCAATCACCAAAAATATTTTGGTAATATAAAACAGTAAATGCACAGTAACACGTCAAACATAATAAGTTCAGGATTTTGCAAAGGCGTCGAAATTAGCGAAATCTGCGAACTGGTCTGTTGTTGCAGTGACTGTTGTTACACTTCCAGCAAATGGATCTCTGGAAAAAACTGGATACAGCATAAGAATAAGAACAGCAGCTTCTTTCGTGAAAGGGAACAAATCTAAAAGATTTGAAGGGAATTATACGTTCGTTTCTCATTGAGTACACACTTACGTGCCAGAAAACGGATCCGATTCAACGGGAGTTTTCAATGATTTCGGTGGCGCAGGTCGTGGTGGCGGTGCTTTTGCTGATGTAGCAGTACTTGATAGAGATTTTGTATTATTCACATCCAAACCGAATGGATCCTTGCCCGAGAAAGCATCAAAATTCGTGAATGATGAATTAATCGTGCCCGCAAATGGATCAGTTTCAAATCCAATACCTGTAAAGAACACTTAGGAAAACAGATAATTCTTCCACTAATTTTCTTCTATTTCTAAATTAGTATAATGTTTTGATATATACTGGAATAATCATTATAAATGAGAAAAATGGTGAAATAAACCTGGTCGAATGGCTGCTGCAAAAGGATCTGCAGGGATGATAGAATTTTGATTTTCCACAACCTGAAAAACAATATATTCTCTAATGAATCCTTGTTTGACTAGATCAACGACGACCTACTTCTAAATCCGTCATTTTCGTTCTTCGATCAATCGCCCACATAAGCTCTTCAAAGACAGAAAAGGAAACAAAAATCCCATATTAGCTCATCTCTAGCTTTCAGATAACAAATTCATCAGCACGATTTCTAACATCCTCACCTGAAAACTCCCTTTCGATTTGTAAAAAAAATTGCAAATAATTACCGGAGAAATTCCCAGGAGTACAGCAAAAAGTTTTTCTTTTTCTTTATTAAGTGTTTCGGTATCGTTGCTTTCTATTAACTGAGTGAGACGTTCTGTCGCTTTTTTTAATTTTTCATTTTCATTTTCAATACGTTTGGTTACCTCTTCAGTATTCGCACACTTCCTTTCAAGCTGAAAATGAAACTCAAGTCATAATCCGACAATTAACATTTTTACACTAAATTTGCAAAGGAAAGCGTTCAATACGCAACTGAAAGCTGCCAAAATTTAAAGGAAAGATTCTGTTGGAGAGAACACAGAATACAAAAAGAAAATGTATTCAGCAAATATTTTTAAAGACAATAATATAATAAAAAAAGTAAGACAAACTTTCGTAAGTTCCAATGATGCTTTCTCGATAGCGGCATTATGTTGTGAAAGTGTGACAGACAACGTTTTCTTTTCTTCTTCCAGAGAATGAACTTCTCGTTGCACATGTATTAATTCTTCATTTGTCTAAGCAAGGAAAAAATAAAATTAATGAAATGTGAAGTGCAGAAATCTCAAGCATTAAACCTTCAACGAAAGTTGTTAATTTCTTGATAACGAATTGGAGATTCGTTGTTAATTACTAAAAATAATAATGGTTTGTCCTTTGACTCATACAGAAATCATCCAACCAATCGTTTACATAATGCTTATTAAAATAATCATTTCTCGCAAACGCCCTGCTCTTGATATTTTTCTTTAACTACAACGAATGCTGTAGAGAACTACAAAAATTTTTTAAATTTATTTCCTGAGACTTTTCTTCGCCTTATTCTGTCCGACTTATCTTTCCTGTACCTTGCTCAGAGACAAAGAGGACAGAACTTAATATATTAATATGAATTAATATGAATTTAATATGAATTATAGAATTTAAATTTTATCAATCTTTAAAAAGACGATAAGAAACTTACAAGCAAAGAAATTGATATTTTCCATTTTCATACGTAAAAAAGCTGAACTAAACAATACTTACCATCTTATCTTCTCCATTTTGAATGTTTTGCGAATGAAGTTCGTGAAGCCTCTTTTCTTCCTCCTTAACTTTTTCTCTGGCTTGTTCCACACTTCGTCCCAATTGTGCAATTTGCGAATCAAGTGCTTCAAGTCGCTTTTCTGCTTCACCTTTCTGTTTTTCCAATTGTGTAACGGTATTTTCCAATGTTGTTAATTCAATCTGCAGCCGAAAGATTTAGAATATTTCATAGTCCTCCCTTTTTTCTATCCCCATTTGATTTATAAATATGCCAAGTATCTCGTCAATAAAACCTCTGAAGTAAAACCGCTAAACTGCAAACATTTATAACAGTATATGCATATTTTGATACGTTGCTAACTTTAACCGTGTGAGTATTAGCATAATGAAAATAAAGTACCTACTAAAATAATTCAAAAAGATCTCACAAAAAAGAAGTCACTAATATAATTCCACAGAATTGTTGAATTTACTTTAATTAAAAAACCTTTAAATTTTTAATTTCGCTGTTTTTCACAGTCATGTCAGCTTCAAGTTGAACGATTTCTTGATCAGCCTCTCGACGATCCAGAATCAGTTTCTCAACTTCACGCAGCAGTGCATCTAGTTCCTCATTTCCAGTTGGTATTGTACTCTGCTGCAGTTTAAAACAATTCTTCCGCAGCATTACAATGCCTTTTTCATGAATAGAATCACTAAAGATGGAACTTCTTCACTATACTCTAATTTCGGAGACTTTTTTTGATCGTGATATCAAAGGTTGAGAAATAGTTGGAAAATTTCACCAAATTAATTTTAAGGAGACAGTAATCAAATCAGACAGAAAACAACCGACAGAAAACAACGAAACGGGCTACCACGGTATATCCGCCAGTTACATTGCTTGCAGAGGCTTCAACTGTTCGAAAAGAAGGTGGCACTAAATTTCGCGGCAATGCAAACGGTATCGGTTTTCCTTGCTTATGATTTTCAATCAGGTACATGCTGAAGAGTTTCCATGAAATTCACTATAGCATATGCGATTGAAAAATCTATCCGTTTTTCTGGATTTGACAGAATAGAGTTTAAACAACAGATTCCCAAACTGAGAAAAAAATACATCAAAGCAAACTGTTCCAAATTCAGCATTCCATTCTTCTTCAGATCCACAAGCGACCAAAGTAACGCCAATGTATTCTGTTGTATACCTGTCGCAAGTAAAATATCACGAACGTCCGCACCCGAAACAAATCCATCCTGGTCAGAATCCGCCTGCAATATCCAAATAAAATAACTTAAACTGCATATTCCATAAGGAGAAACATAGCAAAAAATAATTATATGACCATCATTGCGGGAAAGGCCATCTTCCAGAACAGAGTTTGAATCGAACAGCAACGGTTTACACTAAAAACCAGGCAATAAGAAATCTCATGCTATATTATGAACTGTAAAAGTACCTGTTGAAAACTAGTTTCATAACAAGCTGACTGCACTGGCCATGCTGCAGTAGGTGATAATGAAAGTGATGACGGCTGCAAAGAAGTATAAAAATTACAAACAATTACCCACAAACTTGTGGACCTCAGAAAGCCTTTTAAGAAAATAAAACTAACGAAAAGGGTTGGTGTAGTAGCGCTTGTTGGCTGGACACTTTGTGATCGCACCTTTTCTGATACTGAAGTTGCGTGTTCAGAACCTTCCAGGGATACTACTGAGCCGGTTCTTTGGCGGCCACTACTCCATTCTGAAAAAAAAATCCCACTAAAAAGTGAAAATATTCATTTATAATTTTTTATGAATTCAAATAATAATAGTGCCAGTACAAATTATGTTTTAATATTTAAGAAATCTTACGAGACATTGGAACCGGAGGAATACTTGAAGAAAACTGAGCAAGTTCACGTTTTGTTGGATGAATTAGAGACGGTGGTAGGACATTTGGTACTGATTCTCCTTGTAGGGCACAATAAACCAAATGTAGTGCAACAGACATTTCAATGCGATCAAGCTTGCCATCCTGGAGAGAAATTGAAACAAGCATAATTTCAAAACACTCGTTGTTTGTGCGTAATCTTAGACGTAAATTGTAAATAAGATAATGGTGAGCAAACTGAGAGAGATGATGGATCTTCAATGTGATTATATCCCAAACATTATTAATCAATGGTTTTAAAAAAATGATAATATAAACCACATTTAATACACCCTGTTTTCACTAATATCTTCAATGTAGTGAGATAGATATTTATGTAAGCTTAGCGTAATGAGTAAATGATATATATGTTGGAAGAATATATCAAGTTAGTCAATGTATTTATAACCTTATCCATGTCTGCCAGCTCCCATATCCTTGCCAGTGATGTACTTGGAAGTCCTGAATTCAGTAATAGAGGACGTACCTGAAAACAGCTCATGAATAAAAAAATTCAGTATATGAAAATTGATAAAAAAGACTAATGCATTCTTTATGAATAAAGTAGTACCATTAGGTCAATATATAACAATACAAAGTGGTTCCATACATTTATACAATAAAAAACAAGAAAAAAGCAAAAAAGAAAATTAACTTTAGAATATCAAATAAAGCTGCTACAATAGCAATTCTTACCGAAAAATGAACCATAAATTCATATAAACCCTTAATTTTTCAGAAAGAACATAAATTCATATAAACCCTTAATTTTTCAGAAAAAGCTTTGCATTCATCAGATTCGCATGATCTCTCCTCTAAATAAATATGCATTACCTTATTTCCGAGTACTTTTCCTTCAACTGGATTCAAACTATCAAAGATTGATTCATATTTCGCTTGATCAGTTGGGGTGATTGCCCAGCTGTCAGTAGGACTGGCTGAAATGGCACCAAAATTAGGTATAGATGGTGTAGCGGATCTCGATGCAAAAGATGGAGGTTCTAGCTTAAGCAGCAAAGAATTCCATGAGATAGGTTGTCCTTGTTGAGAAGCTGCCACCAATTTGAACGCAATAAAAGCACCAGTTTTATCCAAGCAACCTTTTCGATTGTAATCAGCCAATTCCCAGATCTGAATAAAAATAGAAAAAAGATAATAAATATCGCATTTTTGCAGTTTCACGGCTATTGTTTTGGAGAATATTTAAAATTTAAATCCAAAAATAATGTCAGACCTCTAATACGCTCTGCTATCTCTGTTCCCAAACAATTTTCAGGATTTTTTTTTTTGGAATTTCTTAACAATCTTTGTAACAAAGCACCACTGCTAATTATGGTGTTCATACATTTTTTAATTGGCTAAGAAAATAAAATACCTGGCCCAAAGTCGTAACAGTCAAGTTGGATCGTTTTAAAAATGCTGCTGCTTCTTGTGCAGGCACTACATCTTTCCCTCTCATATTCATCTGAAACATTTCGACTCAATTATTAGTTAAAACGTGACATAAAAACTATTATCAATTTAAGTCAATAGGAAACATTTTGAAGTAATTACGGACGATCAACTATAAATCCAAAAAAAAAATCTAAGGCTATTGATAGCATCTTCTCCTATTTGCTAGTCAGCATCAGACTTTATGTTACACTTTATAACTTTTTTTGAAAATCAAAACAAACCTCTTTGTATAAATTTTCATAAATGTAAGTATATGGTTGTGAGATCGTAGTTGTTGAGATATTCATCGCTTAATACTTAAGTAGATTGGCAAAAGCTTTGAACTACCTGAAAAACAATTATTTTATCCCGCACGACATTTCTTTCTGCAACATTCTTCTCAATTTTAATCTTCTGTGTGAATATTTTAAAAATTTCTGAAAACATTTAATTCACACTCGATCTAATCACATTGAACACGACCCTTACTGTAGGAACTGAAATTTCACTTCACAAGCAATTATCAACAGTAACGTAACAAATCATACCCTTTCCAACACCCCTCTTGCTCACTCACGTCACCATTAACCTGCCATCCCACTCTCGAGAATAAACGTGTTGCATTTCCGTTGCATGCTTTCATTCTATGTTGTTCAAAATTGTTTGGTGATTAAATGTTTGATGGAATGTTGCAAAAAAAAAGGTGTGAATTGTTTATTTCATTTCATTTCATACACTTGTAGTACGTACACATAATTTTTACCGCAACTGTCGGTAAAAAAGAAGGAATACTCAACTGAGTGTAACAGTAAAACTGTATGTTTAAGGTTTATAAGGATAGGAGGAATAAGTTGCTTGTTGGATACCGTGTTATTATCTGCAACCTGCACTCTCCATCATATAAATAATACGCATATTTTGCAATACTTTTCACTTTGTCTATAAAAACGCGAAATTTCACTGAGAGAAATATAAAACATTCTTGAAAGGTTTGATTAATAACAGAAAATTTGTATAATAGTGTATAAACATATGAATACAATTTCAGATGGATTGCATGCAGCTGGAATGTTGTGTCTGTGCATAGCATCACATGATGCTTATATCGCACATGCATAATGTCAACATGCCCTTACTGCATGCATACAGTCAATCAAGGAGATGCGAATAGTTTTGTCCAATTAGAAATATATGTTTACGTGTTTGTCATCAAAATTGGCTACCTTACATGCATTTTCTCACAGTACAACGTCAGATACGCTTTGTGCGTGTGAAATAAGTGAAACAGTGAAGTATGAATATCTTTTGAAGATAGTGATATTAATAATACAGGGTTATTGCTGCATACGTCAATATATATAAAACTACAGCTTGGTATATACAGCATCATATCCTTGTTTATAGCACACAAAAATATTCAGCTGACTATGAAATAAGTTTATCTGACATTTCATGTTTCTTGTTATTTTTTTTTCTCGATAAGACTAGTAATGTGTGATTTATTGGCTTCAAATGCAGTCAAAGAGTAAGCTTTTTTGTTAAAATTTCCAGATATGAATTTAAAACTGTGTAAAATGAATGTCATTTAATTACCAAGTTTCAATTGTTGTAATATGATGAAATAAAGCTGGTAATTTATAGATTTCGGCAATTTTCACCAGTTCTGCATTTTGTTCTTTCATTAGATGCAAAAGTTGCTAACGATTGAATATGAATATGCCATCTAATGCGTTAGCGGAAATAGTAATACGGTGGAAACCAGAATTGTGTGACGTTTATTCTTTCGAAAATATGCGTGTAGTAGCATGGATGCAACAAATCAATGCTTAATATAAGTGGTATGTTAAAGAATGATATTTAACATTGTCTTTTCATTATTAATAAAGCATTCAATTGTTTCGAAGTGCTTTGAATTGATTTCTTGGTACGGACTTGATATCGCATGTGCCTTCGATCTCCACTGTCTCCCAATCATCTTCAGTCCATGCAAACATTAGATTGCATTCCTGTTCAAAAAACTTTAGTACCAGATGGCATATTCATATTCAAGAAATCATAAGCATAAATGAATGACGATGTTAAAGGGTTAAGCTTTCTGGAGAGAATTTAAGATTAAAAGTAAAGACCCTTATGATTTTGAAGCTCTGACACTTGAAAAGCTATGCATTCAATTATTGAGAAGTCTAATAGAGAAAAGGAATCAATTTTCATTTCTACTAATAATCTATACAACATTAAATAACCTGCTGCTGCGTTATTGGAGTTTCCAATTCACAGGTTCTCAAGTTGCTTAATGACACCACCTGCAAAAATGGAACATTTCAAATCCAGTAGTGTGGAATCACTTTTCCTCACCAATTATAGGTTCGATATTTTTGATGCCATACAATCAGTAGTATATAGGATTTAAAAAAGAAAAGATATACTTCGATTGATACGTACACTTTTGCTACATAGACTCCTTGCGTTTGTTTCGAAAAAGTTGTAAGTGGCATAGTATCTTTCCGTTTCTCTGTTATAAGTTCGTACTACTGTTGCTCTTAGTGGTTTACCTGGAATTTATAATAGCAGAAAATGTCCCAAAATTGATATTTCAAACAACGTTAAAAATGCACACCTGGTACTGGTATCCACCAATTGGTTTCGGAATTAGGCAGTTTTGAATTCGTATATAGCGTTCCCGATCTGTATAGTATTTGCTGAAGTAAATTTATTGTTAAGATTATTCGAAACTACAATGCATAGATCCTATACAAACCACTGACCATATAATATCAGTAGTGAAATCAAATATAAACTGTAATGTAACCCTCTTCCTATAGTTGATCGCTTAGATCAGCTTACTTAGATGAGTGTCCTTTATCTGTTTCGAAATAGCTTTTTCAAGTTTACATCAACCATGTAGTCTGCAGTGGTCTTTCACAGTAGAAGCATTCCAAATTCAGAATAAAGTTTTGTGCAGTATTTCATAATGAAATAATCCAAATTCAACCTCCGTTAACATGTGTATATTATATATTGAGGTAAAGAAATTATATATATATATATATAAGTGGAATAGTAAATAATCCATCCAAGACAACTGGGCTTGGGAAAGAAGAGAGGGAGTTCATGGAGCTCAGTTCATCGAGAGCATTCATCCTTTTAGCAACTACCAAATTAATTATTTGCTGCTATCAAGAAAATAGCAGCTATCGAATTAATCGCTGTGCAATTACTGTATTCGTCTATCAATAAAATTATAGCCTATTTTGTTCTCATGTTCCCTTTCCTAGTCTTAATCTCTTCAATTATCCTCCGACTAGAAAATCTTTTTTCCCATCAAATTTTCTTTTCAGATCATTTAGGCTAACTACTATTGACAGAATATCCTAATCATATTACATGTCTGAAGTTTTATATCAATCCCATTATGAGTAGAAGCAATATCATTATTAAGAACATCTGCAAAGGCAACCAACATAAGTGCTATCAGCAGAAGTAATTACCATTATTTATATCAATTAGCACATCAACAAAATCTGCTGCTGTGTTGTGAATGATGTATTTGATAATTTAAAAAACTGAATCTTTTTCTCTTAAAGCATATTAAATAAATTGAACTAGCATAGAAATAAAGTAAAACAGTATGAGTAAGCATGAATTTGGAAATACCTGTAATACATTATCGTTATCGGGGACGGAAACTTTCCTATTCAGAATTTTTCCGATCGCTTGTTCGACAATAAATAGATAAATTAGAGGAAATAAGGCAAACCACATCCTACAATCGCATTTATTTTGAATTTAAAAATTTAAAAAAAGGGAAAGCTACAATTCGAAAAAAAGAAACAAAACCATCAACTTAGAATCAAGTTATCATTGGGATGATAATCTTTAGAAAGCAATAGGTGCAGAGCAGCCAGTTATAGGAGATATAGTTGAAAATATATTTCTCTTAGGCTTTACCTAGCTTGGGAAAAGGTAACATATCTCAGGATATTTTCAACGCGTAATTAACCCATAGGTTTATTTGAAAATATTCCATCATTAAAGGTAATTTTCCCTGTGTGAACAATAACCACTAAATTTTGTCATTATGATCAATATGTCAGGTGTCTTAATTCGGTCACTTTATAAATGAAAAGATAGCATGCATTCTAGTTTTAGTTTCATATTTTACAGAAGCTAACAATAGACCAAGTTTTGTCTTTAT